GGCCCCGCCCCGCCCGCCCCTCCCGGCCGGGCAGCGCCGCCATGGCGCTGGAACTGGAGCCGGCCGCGGCTCCCCTCAGCTCCTTCCTGAGGGACTTCCCAGCGCCGCTGGGCCCGGGGGAGCCGCTGCCGTGGAGCTCCGCGGGGAGCGGCGCCCTGAGCAGGGCCGAGGTGCCGGGTGCGCTGGCCGAGAGGGCGAGGAGCCTCCTGGGCAGCAGGTGAGGGGGCGGCGGGGCGGGCGTGGGGCTCCGGCCGGGCTGCCCGGGGAGCGCTGCTGGCGGCCGGTGTGAGGGAGCGGGGCTGCCCGGCAGCGGGGCCGCAGCAGGTGCAGGCGCGGGAGGCGCTTCCTCCTGACGCGGGGCCCGCCGGGGGCGGGGGAGAACCCTCAGCGTCTCCAGAGAATTTTAGGTTTARAGACTGATTGATTTATTTGTTGTTCCCCTTTCTAAATTACTTTTTGTGACTGTTAATAGCATGCTTCTATCCAGGCCACAGGCCCTCGGCCCTGTGCCTTTATAGTATTGTTTGTGTGTGCTTTTCAAAAATATTYCTCTCCCGCTGCCTGTGCGGATTCAGTTACAAGCCTGCAATTAGCGCGATAGGGCGATAATTGTGGTGAAGTGCCAATAGCGTGAATCCAGGTCCCTCAGGGCACCTGCGTGGGTCAGCTTGGAAGTCTGGGRGGGAGGGAGTTGGTGAGGTGCCTTGCAGGGCTGCCAGGGGTAGGAAGCGAGCCAACYCCAGAGGAATTCAGTTCCAGGGGTRTTCAGTTCCCYRGCCCTCCCGAGGGGGATGTGCTCGTTTGGGTTTCTCAAGTTGATGTTTTCTTAAAACTTCAGGAGCATAGTCACACCCCTGCCTGAGCACATTGCTGCTCATCACTGATGTTTCTATCATCCCTTGACTTCATCATTATAACCTTTATCTTGAACCGTTTAAGCTTCCTCTTTAACACTGCTCAGAATTTGGATGTGACTTACTTATTTTGGCAAGTTAGTGCTTCATCATGAACAAGTTGTCTCCCTCTAATTTCTTGTCTCTTGATACTCCACTCCTCCAGCGCTTCAGCAGTAGGGCCTGTAAATTCCAGATGTTACAAGGTTCCTACCAGTCTGTTTCACTAACCTGCTTGTAAGARTCAAAAACAGGGATTGTGGATGGTCTAAAAGGACATCAGTGGTGATCAGACTATGCTGTGGTACTGGGGGTGTGGAGGAGACTGGTTCTGGTTAGGTGTATGCTGAATGTTACATGGGTCCCAGAGGAACCATAGAAAGCATGGCTTGAATTACTTGCCTTTTGAACTACCATCTGGTGAGTTTATGAACTCCAAATATATTTTGTTGTTGTTGTTGAACGTGTATATGTGAATTTTAGATATTTAAATTGTCTGAGAAATCAGCCTTAAAAATCAAGTTACTCCTGTGCTCATTAGTGAGATGACTGTGGACATAATATCTGTCAATTAATTGGTGTGTCTAAACCTGAAGATGAGAAATGCTTACTAAAGAAATACAATTTTTTAGTCTGTAGTGTAAAAAGGCCCAGATAATCATTTCATTAGTTAGTTGTGCTCTGACTAAATTGCTCTTGAACAAAACACAGCTGCTGTATTCCCCAGTGAGATTGCAAATTTATCACGTGCACTGAATCTTTGAACTCTGTGGAGCAAGARTGGTTCTGGGTGAGGACTTTAAAGAACAGAGTAATGCCAGTCTTGAATAAATACTTATCACATGGCACCCACTCTGCCACGTGGGCCAGGCTAATGCTCTCTAGAATTGTTTTAGGGAGGAAGGTATGAAGCTGTAGGGTTATGGGATAGATGATTCAAACTGCAGTGCTTTAAAAATCAGTATTTCTGAGCTGCATATCTGCTGACATTCTGTTGTTGTCTATTGGGCACAGTAACAAGTGGAAACAGAAGAGGAATGCTGGTTTTGCAATACTTTCACCTCACCTGTCACTCCTGCTGTTTACACACAGAGGAGCCTGCCAGTGTCAGAAACTGCATTTTTCACATACCTGCCCTGCAGCCAGTTCTGGCTCCACAGCCTCATGGAGCTGCCCAAGTCCTGAGCTG